TAAAGAGGATTTGGGTAAGTTAGAGTATAGTTTCTGTTTTCAGAGAAGTTCTATCAACGCAATTCACAGATATCCACGTGGAAGCATTTCGCGTCAGCTTCTTGTCTATTTTTTTTTTGTCATTTCCTTTTCTTCTATCACTTCTTCTTTCAAACCTCTTCCTTCTTGCGAGGCGTTTTTTTGAACGCTAGTTGGCTTGTCTTGCAGCAACTTCGGCTTTCATCCACAAGAAATAGCATTTTAATCAAGTACTTCATGTGATAAAGACAATAGGTCAATCGTGAAACCCAATAGCGTTCAAAGGAGTACCTCACAAGAAGAAAGAGACATGAAGTGACAAAAAATAGACAAGAAGCTGACGCGACTGCTTCCATGTGGATATCTGTGAATATGCCATGATAGAATTTCTCAGAAAACAGAAACTACACTCTAACTTACTCTTTTCCTCTTTATCAGCAACGAATCAACTAAAAAGCATGAAATAAGCAGAGAAAACACTGGAAAACACTAGCTCGGGAACTCGCAAGGCATTTATTGACGCCCCAGCGTTGTCGCGTCTGCAGGGACACTATATTAAGCAGGAAATCTACTCGACTGTATATATTAGGTTGATGCATCATTTCTGCACCAAAATAGGTACAAACCGCGACCGCAAAAATGCATATTTCTTCTATATTAAATAATTCCTTATATATCTTTTGTTAGAGCAAAGCCAGCTCTACAAGATAGTGCTCAAAGTTATGCAGCAACTTTGATCCAAGCGTAGATTGAAGTCAGAAATGGAAAAGATCTTAGCATCCCAAAAAAATTGAATGTCCTTATAAGAGAATCCTTTAAAAATTCAACCTGCTCATGCATTGACATTTCATAAAAGACATTTCTCTATGCACTTGCTGTATTTTTCTCTCAGTCAGAGATTAAGAAAACTACTGTGAACTACTCTTTCCGAATGAAATGTTTTCTTTTTTTTTGATACTAGCGAGCCAGTAATCCAAAGGTGCCATTTGCAGGAGCGTTCGCTTCCGGACCGTGCCGCAGCTTCCCGCTGTTTGGTGATTTTTGAATTGGCGTAATGATTCTTTATATATTAGAATAGCGAACCAGTAATTGAAGGTGCTAGATTGCATCCGCGCGCTTCGAGACCGCACTACGGTTTCCCGCTATTTGATGACTTTGAATTAGCGTTACGCTTCTTTATTTATTAGATAATGTGTTCATTGTCTGCGATGTGCCAACCAAACTTTCTTTATCTATTCTCCTTTCCCACTGGGTTTGCTTCGGTCTCGCAGAAAGAGCTGATAATGAGCTCCACTCAGCTTTCTCGAAGTCGCTTGTATGGTGCGCCTTATGAGACGAGATAAACATAAAATTGTAGTTTGTGAGCGAAGCAGCTTCAAAGAGCAGAGAAGCGGAAGCAAAACTTTGTGGCGCACCATTCAACTGAGCTCAACGAGGTGCATCTTTTATATATAGACGTGGCTGTTTGGGCACGACAGTCAGTCAAATTCTAAGGACTTCCAAATTTTTGCTGCAATATCAGTCGCTGTGCAATGATTCAACACTCTGAGTTAGCTATCGTGAGCAAGAATCTGGAGGATTTTGGAAACTTGACCGACTATTGTGTCCAGACAGGCATTTCTACATGTCAAAAGAAGCATGTTGACCTGAGCTGAACTGTGCTTTCGGATTCATAATTCTTTCACTCTGAAGCAAGATGACTAAAGTTCGGCGAACTCCGGCGATTTTTTTCACACTACGAGCGGAATTGTACGTTCACAAAATGTTGAAGAAAAATGAGATCAGTGTGGTAAAACTCATGATTGTTGCCCGATTTCGGGGCGTTAAGCCATGCGGGATATGTACTCAGTATGCAAGCCATACAGCGTTCTTGGCAGATAAACAATTATTTATTTATTTGTGCATAGGGATGCCTCTATAATAAGAAGCAAATAACAACAATAAAAAACAGTTAAAACAACAACAACTGAAATAGTTGAAATGCTAACGTGATAGGTAGCCACTCAAAATCTTCTTGAACAATCTTCTTGAGTTTAACTAAGAACACTTTCCTCACAAGAATGCCTACATCACGTGCAACTCGGTACGTGAGGAAGTGCTTCTAACGTTTCGCTTAGCCTTTGGTGACACAAGTTCTCTCAGTCCACTTCTAGTATTCGAGGGCTAGTTATAAAAAAGTTGCCCGAGTCAAGGTTACATGTTCCGAATATTATTTTGTGCACGATGATACTCAGACAATGGATCGGACCCCTCCGCTGGGCAAGCCGAAACTGCCAGACTCGCGCCGGACCCAATTGACCAATGAGAGCGGGGCAAATGGGCGGTCCCTCGCGTGACATCACTGCCAGGCAAATGGGAGGCTTCTCCGGCCCTGCTGCAAAGGTCCGCCATTTCTCCGGCGCGACCCTGGCAGATTTGCCAGGCTCGCGCCGGACAAATTTGTCCGGCGCGAGCCTGGCAAATCTGGCGGAGTCGCGCCGGAGAAAATGGGAGGGGTCCGGAGCAGAAATGGGAGGCCTCCGGAGCAGAAATGGGAGGTATCCGGAGCAGAAAATGGGAGGTATCCGGAGCAGAAAATGGGAGGTATCCGGAGCAGAAAATGGGAGGTATCCGGAGCAGAAAATGGGAGGTATCCGGAGCAGAAAATGGGAGGTATCCGGAGCAGAAAATGGGAGGTATCCGGAGCAGAAAATGGGAGGTATCCGGAGCAGAAATGGGAGGTATCCGGAGCAGAAAATGGGAGGTATCCGGAGCAGAAAATGGGAGGTATCCGGAGCAGAAAATGGGAGGTATCCGGAGCAGAAAATGGGGGGTATCCGGAGCAGAAAATGGGAGGTATCCGGAGCAGAAAATGGGAGGTATCCGGAGCAGAAAATGGGAGGTATCCGGAGCAGAAAATGGGAGGTCTCCGCCGGAGAAATGGGAGGTATCCGGAGCAGAAATGGGAGGTATCCGGAGCAGAAATGGGAGGTATCCGGAGCAGAAAATGGGAGGTATCCGGAGCAGAAAATGGGAGGTATCCGGAGCAGAAATGGGAGGTATCCGGAGCAGAAATGGGAGGTCTCCGGAGCAGAAAATGGGAGGTATCCGGAGCAGAAATGGGAGGTCTCCGGAGCAGAAATGGGAGGTAACCGGAGCAGAAAATGGGAGGTATCCGGAGCAGAAAATGGAAGGTATCCGGAGCAGAAAATGGGAGGTATCCGGAGCAGAAATGGGAGGTCTCCGCCGGAGAAATGGGAGGGCTCCGCCGGACGAATGGGTGACCCACCGCTGGGGAAACGCCGCGACCCTGCCATTTCCCCAGCGGAGGGGTCCGATCCATTGTCTGAGTAAGATCAAATTTTTCTTCCTCTACAAGCAAGAGTGGGTAGCCCAAAATTTGCATGACTTGCTGCATGGATCCGATCACTCAAAGACAGTAGCTCGGGAAAATCGAGAGTGGGGGTTTTGCACAACTACATGGCCTTCTGGACCAGCTGAGTCAGTTACTGTGCTTGAAAAGCCAAAAAGGTGCTTTTTTGGAGATTCCGGCTTTGGAGAGTGCTGAGGGGCTGGGCGAGGGATTCCCGCCATAAACAGCAACTGGATGCAGGATACTGTAACTTCACCCGTTTTGGCGGCAATTGGTGATCAGCTATTTAGCCAATCACGATACAGTGACAGGAATCCCTTGACGCGACACTCCAGCAACGTGCAAGTCCGGAAGTCCTGGTTTAGAAGGCCATGTAGTTGTGGAAAACCCCGCTTGCGATTTTTCCGAGCCACTCCCTTCAAAAACCAACCAATAAAATATAAGATTTTTTCACATCCCATGTGAAAGTATCACTGCTACTGCAGATGATGTTGTACTCAGATGAACAGAAACACAAGGCAAGATTTTTTAGATAATTAATATCAAGTTTATAGGCTAGCCCGAGGAATTATTGCTGTCCGGCAATGCTTTCGTTGCAAAATTGATATGTCTCGAATAAAAGAGTTCCCGGAAGACCCAAAACAATTCTGCCAATCTTATAAATGCAAAGTTAAAATCAACCTAATCTATGCCCCTATGAATTAGATCAATGTGAAGCCAGAAAATGCCGCAGCTCAGAGATAAATTCTACCTCTAGCTTTACCACAGAGAAATTTGAGTTGGTTAGCAAATCAAATGAATTCTTTATCATCCCAGCGTCTTTTTCAAATCAAACGATTGATTGTGAGGCGATCTATTGACCATATATCGATGCCCTAGGGGTAGATGCACATGGAAAGAAACTCTATTTGATAACCATGAAACTATGCCCTAGAAGTGCAGGTAAATTGGAAATCTAAGTTTCTTTATATTCAAAAATTAAATCCACAGTTACAGCCAGATTGTTGCTGAAGAAACTTTAGTTCTCGAGAAATTGTGAAACGATACATATTCTTGAAATCTAAGAACGCAATGCTTGACAAGAAAGTGATGTCTCTTAATGCTCACTTCATTGTTAATAATTTCCTAACGAAAGAAAAGAAAATGAGCTCTCGTTGGTCTTTAACGAACACGTGAGCAACACATGCATTGGACCTTCGGGCTGAACGTGGTCGATACATCAAAGGGCTGTCATAACGCCCAAGTGAAAAGCTATTGCGTTAGCAGACTTTTCTTATGAGCGTCTCGAGATTAAGGAGGTGATGAAGAAGATTTTCAAAGCATGCTGATGGCAGCATATTTCCTAGAAGAGAGTTATACAGAGGAAGGTTCGATGAGAAATCGTGTGGAAAGGAGTTCAAAAGATATTGCTGCATGATTCAATTATCGCTATGCTTCTTTGAGTCAAAGCGATAGCAGAAAGCTGCATCAAAATCTGAAATAAAAATCAATCAATCTGTTTATTCGTAAGCATATACTAAAATTGGAACAATATAGAGAAGATTAGCATGGCCTCTGCGCAAGGATGACATGCGAATTCGTGGAGCGTTTCAAAATCTTTTGAACATTCGTCTCTGTGGCCTGCCAGCGAGCGGTCGATTTGTTCCAGTGCTCCCGCTCGTTCGTGCCCTACTTCGATTGCCATCGATCGCCTTGCGACTTGTCTGATTTCCCCTATACTGCTATTACTACTACTATTCTTTTCTGGAAAATGAATACCCCAATTTACCCCTTCCAACCCAAGAGAGGCAAAAGAAGGATGATTCAGTCAACTCAACGCCCCCGGATTTCGATAGGGCCGCAGAAGATCTGCTCAAGGACGACTCAATTCCATTGTATGCCAGGACCATCGTCGCTTATTTGCTTGAACGAAGAAGGAACTACGAAGAAGTTAGCAGGGAGAACCGTGAGTTGCTCACCAGAGTTCAAATATTGTCGGAGCAGTCAGGTTTTTTTAGGCATGAAATCCATGATCTTCGTCCGAGTATTGATTCTAATCGATATAAAGCCTCCCCTGTTGAATACCTTTCATCGGCAACAATCTCACCCGTCGTTTATGAAGAAAGAGAGAGACAACACTCTCTCGTTATTAGTGGGGTCCCAAAATCGAGAGGATCGTGGTAGCGCTAGTGCTTGGCATGATTTTGATTGCGTAGAACAGATTTTCGATCACCTTGCCATTGATTGTAGACCTATATCGATTTATAGACTAGGTAAGCCGTCATCAAGGCATGACAGGCTCCCAAAAGTAATCCTTCCATCCAAATTTTCTGTAAAGCTTGTACTAAAGCGTGCCCCAAAGATGAAGAAATTCCCTTTTAAGCGAGGGGTTTCATTCGCCCCTCTCTCACTAAGGAGAAAAGGGAAAGGCTTTTTAAAGGCATAGCAGCACGCCGCGGTCAGAAATACCTCTGTTGTTCATGATTACAGTAGTATCCATAACGAAACTCAAGATGTTCATTGTGACAACAATGTTGTTAATGTTGATCATTCCCACGATGAATCTCAAAATGATTTGGTTAATTCACTGAGTGCTTAGTAGTGAAACAGATTGCGAATGGATAGCTAGAATGTCTTTTGGCAAGTGCTCATTCAAACTGTAAGAATATCGATTACTTGAAGTTTCATTTACAGGACATGCGGCTTTCTTTGGCTGCTATCACAAAAACGTGGTTAACCGATTCCACGAGTGAAGCTCTTTATTTGGAGATCTAATCGCTAACTATTCATTTTGCAGATGTGATCGAGTAGGCAAGAGGGGTGGAGGTGTTCTTCTTGTTATCAATAACAAATTTTATCTCCATGTGGTATTTAAGGCATCTGTTTTGGACAATTGTGAGCTACTGTGCTGCGAAACTGTTGGGTACAAGTCTATGCGGTGGATTTCGGTTCACAGATCCCCCTCCTGCTCCTCGTGCAAAAGGGACCAGTTGTTCAAAACCCTTACGGCTTGTAATAATTCTGTTGTATTGTTGTAAGATTTCAACTTTCCTGACTTGAGATGGACTAGTCATGGCAGTGTAGCAGGGTTTACTGCTCCTTCTGAAAGATTCATTCAAATGTGCCTTTTGCATAAATTGAGCCAGAAAGTTGATTCTGGCACACTAGGTCAGCATCTCCTGGATCTAGTCTTACAAATAATTCGGTGTAGTCTCTAGTTCTACTGTTGAGCACCTCTAGGGAGTAGTGATCACGCTTCAGTCAAGTTTCTGTTGAACTATCGTAAGTACTCGGTTCCAGCCTTTGTCAGTTATAGAGATTATATACACGCGAATATTGAAGGGACTGAATACCTCTTAACGGTAGACCGGTGCGGTTTCGTCGACAACGTGGTGACGGTGGATGAGACTTACGCGATTTCTGGGTATTCTGTACCATGCTAATAATTTTTTGTTCCTGTTACTTGTCGCCCACTGCAACAACTCACCATCCCGGCTTATCTGGATGCCCTCCACCATAAACGAGAGCAAGCATAGGCAACTGCAGTGGGAGGTAACGATGATAGATACTGGGGTATTTCCAAGAAACTTGATACGAATACAAAGAGGCTTAGAATGCACAGCTCCCCTATTGAAAAGAAAGTAATTAATTCAGGGAGCTGTAATTTGTTTTCCAAAATGATCAAATCTAGACTAAAAAATGTAAGTAAATATGGAGTCTTGATTACAGAAGAGGGTTCAGTCATTTGTAGTGATGGAGATGAGGCAGAATGCTTTGCCAATACTTCTGAAAATCATTCTTTTAAGAATTAGTTCCGTAAATGTCTAACACTTCAGATCTAACACTTGAATTCAGTCAAATGGCCGATGAAGTCTGGTTTCAAAGTGATGAGGTTTACCAACTTTCCATCAAGTGGCATAAATCTACTTCGTTAACGCCTACTTTTTGCCGTTACATTTTACAAAGTTCATTGCTTATGTTATCGCTTCAAATCATATTCAACTTGAGTATGATGCGAAGTGAGGTTTCGCGAAGATGGAGAATTTCCTTTGTGAGGCCTACACCAAAGAAAAAAAACCATTGACGTGCCTCAATAACTTTCGGCCTGTAAGCATCACATCCATATTTTCAAAGGTCTTCGAGAAGATTTTGAAGAGTTACATTGTTGGACTTGATATCGAACTCAATTATTTTCCCGTATCAGCATGGCTTCCAAAGGGGCAAATCCATTGTCACAGCCATGCTTCAATCTATAAATGACTGAGCTCTTCAATTAGATAATAGCTTGTATACAGATGTTATCTATTTGGATTTTTCTAAAGCGTTTAATAAGGTGCCTTACAGTAAATTGTTGGCCAAACTTGTTGCAACTGGAACACATCCACTTATTGTAGAGTGAATAAAGGCTTTTCCGGCTGACACGTCCATTGTTGTCCGCATGGGCTCAGTCTTTTCCACTCCTAGGAAAATGGACTGTGGGATTTCACAAGGAAGCGCCCATCTTATCAAATATATATACTCATGAGCTTCCGAGTATACCACTGTCAAGAAGGGTTTCCTGTTGCGCTTTCGCTGATGACTTCAAATATATTTGGTGGTATGAATGCTAGATGTAAAAACTTACAAGGATGTTTTAAATGACGTATTTGCCTGGTTGCAGGAGTGAAGTCTTCCCATTTCAAAGCAAAAAGCCAAGGTTCTCCATATAAGCCCAGGCATTAAAATTTTTCGTATTTAATAGGAGAAATCACGATTGGATCGGTTGACTTAATCAGAGATCTAGGGTTTTTAGTTACAAAGAACTTCAGTTTTGATGAGCATTGCAAGAATACTGCGGATAAAACAACTGTGGCTGTCTACAACTGTTTAGGGCGCTTGCAACTAGGGACTCTATTGTTCTTTCGAAAGCCTATAAATCTTTTGTAAGACCCATGCTTGAGTATGGAACTGTTATATACAGCCCTTTTAAGCGCAAAACTGTTTAATACCTTGAGAAAGTGCAGAACAGCTTTACGCGCAAGTTACTGATTAGGACTGCTGGTTTCCTATACGACCAGATTCCTAACAGTGACATGCGTGATAAGAATCTTGAACTATCTACTCTCGCACGCAGAAGACGAAAGTTTGATCTGTTATTGGCTCATAAGATAATCTATGGTCAATGCGGTCTCAACAAGAGCGCCTAATTGCTACTAAGCTTTCTACTACTAGGGCTAGGAAAGTCTATCATTCCTAGATGTAAGTTGGTTGTGCGAAGAAATTTTTCGTTCATGTCGTGTTTTACACGATGCGAATAAGCTTATCAGAGATCGGGCCTTTGTAGTAAAACTTTTTACCTTCAAATGTATTCTACAACGCTATTTGCAATCTTCTCATGATCGATGTATGTTGTTGTTTGTTGATTCGGTTGTTGTCGGTTTTGTTGTTTGTTATTCTTTCTCATAGGGACTTCCCTATGCATAATAAATAAATAAAAAATATATCGACGGCCTAGGGGTAGATGCACATGAAATAATAATCTATATGATAACCATGGAAGTATGCCCTAGAGGAAGATGTGCAGGTAAATTGAAAATCTAAGTTTCTTTATATTTTAGAAATTGAATCCACAGTTACAGCCAGATTGTTGCTGAAGAAACTTTAGTTCTCGAGAAATTGCGAAACGATACATATTCTTGAAATCCAAGAACGCAATGCTTGATAAGAAAGTGATGTCTCTTAATGCTCACTTCATTGTTAATAATTTCCTAACGAAAGAAAAGAAAATGAGCTCTCGCTGGTCTTTAACGAACACGTGAGCAACACATGCATTGGACCTTCGGGCTGAACGTGGTCGATACATTAAAGGGCTGTCATAACGCCCAAGTGAAAAGTTATTGCGTTAGCAGACTTTTCTTATGAGCGTCTCCAGATTAAAGAGGTGATGAAGAAGATTTTCAAAGCCTTAATGATGCCAGTATATTTCCTAGAGAAGAGTTAAACAGAGGAGGGTTTAAAGAGAAATCGTGTGGAAAGAAGTTCAAAAGATGTTGCTGTATAATTCAATTATCGATATGCTTCTTTGATTCAAAGCGATAGCAGAAGGCTGCATCAAAATCTGAATCTTAGGCGATTCACAAGAATTACATCTCAATTCAAGAGAAATGGAAAACTCGAGAAAGAAACCTAGAATTATGTACAACTATTTGTAGAAACATCGATCAGTAAGAGTTTCTCTCGTATAGTTGAAAAGCAGGCTGTAAAATCCGAATCAAGATTTGTGGATGTTGGAAACTTTTTGGCATTTTGAGCGAATTCCAAAAATCACAACTTTATCTCAGCTTTTATTTCAGCAATAATAAAACAATTTTCGAAAAGCACTTGTAGAAAGCGCAAGATTTCTTTTATTTGACTTGTTGTTACATGATACTAATCAAAATCATCATAACTGCGAATCTTAGGGGATTTCGAATACATTTTATTCGAATGTATTATTCGAATGTTTATTCCAATTCATACTCGAATGAACTCCGTACTCGGATTATTCGAGTTTGTTGCGGGTCCAACTGCTAAGTATCAAGCTCTCTTCGTCTGCGTTTTTTCCACAAAACTCGGTAATGCATCTTTTGCGATCGTGATGTAACTTTGAACAGGATGGAAAGTCTCATTCCTCCGACTGCTTGCGACAGTAAAAAAATAGGTGTGGATTTTAATTGATGCTTTTTTGACCAATGAGACAGTTCGCACTGCTATTGGCACCAAATCAGCAAAAAACAGCTAATCAAATTCAAGCTCATGTTCCTAGTTCATGTACTGAAAATGTGTTGACATGCCTTTTCTCTTTTTTTGCATCGCGTCCACATTAGTGAGCACTCTTGCTTGTTAAACTCATGAATTGGTGTATTTTGAGTAAAGGACATTACAGCTGTAGTGGAGGATCAGACGTTTGCTGAACTTTGCAGTCCTATCACCTTGCAATAAACTGTTGTTCAGTAGAAAGTACATGATAGTTCTGTTATCACAGTGCATCCAAGATTTCCACAAAGGCTTGCAGGCACTTTAGCACCGGAAGCTATCAGCCTATCAACTATGGTAAAGGCTAAAGCCGGACGAATAAGGTACACATTGAGAAACGCGAGCATTGATTATGACAGGCCCCGCACAAACTTCACGCGACAGTCGTACGCGATTTGCCAGTTACAAGATGCTAGCTATGGGGTGGGAGTTAGTACAGGGAGATAAGGGAGGGTGTTGATTATGAATAACATTTACTTTGTTGCCTTTATCGATTTTTGGAAAATCTTGAGCTACGAAGCTGGGAGTTAGTACAGGGTGCTGATATTTTATCGATTTTACTAATATTTGGAAAATCTGAAAGGATTATGAATGGATCGGCATGAATATGAATATGAGGGTGCTGATTATGAATGGATCGGCTTTGGCCGAATATCTCAGCAAGTTTTAGATCTGGTTGCTCTATTTGTTCGATAAATCATCAGATTTATTCGAAATTAGACTCCCAATGTTCGAATATAATCGATAATTCAACTCGATGAAAAATTTCGAAATTACCCAAGTATAATACAGACCAAGGACAAGTTCCAGACCCAATTCTCTGATATGATTGTAACCTTTCAAGATCACAGGTACAAGTATTGCATCCGCATATATGTATTAGCAAGTACAGTAACAATCTACGGGAATCTGCAAAATAATCTCAAACCCAAATTTCAGCGGTAAAACTGTCACGCCTCAGTGGTTTCATCGAAGACTCATAAGGTTGATGCCATATCAGGTGATTCTGATATGCATCTATTAGACTTTGTGCCATAATACATCATTTTCACAAATTTGCAGAAATTCAGCTACTTGATTATGGGTGCAGTCTTGCTGATGAGGAGATATTTGATGGAAAGTTAGTTTGATTAGACGGTGTTCAGGCCAGAGCCTCAAGATTTTACAAGGAACTTGAATGCCTTCCTCTAATTGTAAGTTGCGGTTATCAGTCCTCATCTATCCCGCGGGGGTTGGAGGTCGGGGGGAATAAAGACGAATATGATGAATTATACTGATCTCAAAACGGAGATCATTTCTAGTTATGATCAAAATATTTAATCTTTTTGGCAATACAAAATCATATCCTGTAACGGTAACCTTACTATAGGTGTTGAAGAAGGAAGTTTTGAATTTTTTGCAATGACTTCTTATAAATCGCAAGCAAATCTATTCATAATGGTGTAAACAGGTCTATGGAATTGCAAATATGCCCAACTTATGAAATGCGGCTCTTTGAGAAACAGATCCAACAACATGCGTCTCTCTCGCTCATTTCTTTTGCGTTGAGGAAGGAAATTCGAAAAGCTGTTAAGCGACACGACAGCTGTTGTTCGAGATTGTTTTACACTAAAGAATGAGATATCACCTTTCGAATGACATACATGACATAGCTAATGAGCACAGAGGCTTGATGTAGATCCTGTTAGAACAAAATTATTGTGAAATTCCCGGTCCAACTTGCCGCAAATCATTCAAGGACCAAAGTGAAATCTGCTAAATTTCTGACGCTATAATGGATTAAAAAAGAAAATAGAGACAACTGTGTCATTCGTACACTCTTGATTTCCCAGAATTTGTTTCTTGACTTACATTTTCGGAGGGAAAAGCTCAAAAGATTTTGTAATAATCTTACTGCCTCTGCAAGAAATCACTGTTATCTCAGTGTAAACAACTCTCCCCAAAATATTGCTACCGTTTTTCGTTTCCTAGAAACCTTGTGATTTTTAGGGGAACAACCAAATTCGAGCCATTACTGTAACCCTTGGAGTGTCCTGGTGGCTCAGAATCAATATTTATAGATATACAGGGCGTCCCCAAAAAATGTGCCTACCGTTTGATAGTTAATAACTCTGTATTATGAATTTTTTCGAGAAGCTTAGGTACCTTTTATAGAGCTGGCTTCAACTTAGATATACAGTATGGAGCGAATTACTGGTCGCTTTTCATTACTGTAGAATTACTGTAGAAACTTTGAAGAGGGTTTTGACCCATGGAGAGTCATAATATGTCATGGAGAGTCATAACAATCAAACAGTAGGCACATTTTTTTGAACACCCTGTATAATTGATTCATCAAAATTACTACTGTAATATCAATATCTATTATTTCAAAGTTTCTGCACTCTTACCTACTTGACTTTTTATTTTCGCTGTGAGTAAAGGCCGAAACTAAATTGTGCTATGAGGCCGCATATTATGGGCTACGAATGTTCAATGCAAGAAAAAGATGTAATTTAAAGTTTTTTGGTTTGTTTCGAGGAAATAGAGATAAAATTCCTTCCCCTCTTCCTTCCCAATCAAAGATCCTTCAATATATTATTAAGAGGTGATTGAATATGACGCAGTAAAGATATATCTCTCTCCAAAAAACTAAAGATATGTGGCTCATTCACCTTCTGGTGTCTCGCTTTTCTTGCGAGGCTCCTTTCGAAAGCGAAAATCAATCATCATTGCGGAAGAAGCGGTCTGGAACCAAATGGATCTTTACTTCTGCAGCGCTATAACAACGAAGCTCGAAAAAGAGAAAAACGAACTTGGGAAGCCAAGAATGCTAACAACCTACAGTTTTTACGATGGCTTCATGGATGCTTTTGAACTGTCGGACTGAATGGAATAAGATCTTAGTCGAATGAATTCTGGTGGAATCTGGTGTCATCAGAAAAGTAATTTGAATATTTTAGCGTCGAAAAGCGTAAGAAACTCAGTGAAGTAGCTCTTTCAAAGCATTTTCGAAGTTAAACTCCAAAAAACGAGTTAGGGATGTAACAACTAGATTTGATGCTCACTCACAGCAGTCTGATATTGAGCATTGTTTGCAGCTACTACAGTGGTCAAGTTCTCACGATTTCGAGCGTCTCGAAACCCTTTTTTGCATAAACCTGAGGAAATGGACACACAAAATCTCAAACACTACAGCCTGCTGTGGTTCGATAAGTACGTGAGATTTGTATGTAAAATCACCAGCCTAGCTTATCTACTCGTCCATTACAATACCACTATCAGAATGTGCAAAATTTCAGTTGTTTTGGGGCTCTCGTCTTTTCTCAGAAAAATTCTGATAATTTTGAAGCTATGAGTGACTTCACAAGTAGAAGATGATGATGACTTTGGGATTTCAACTAGAATCACCATCCTCATCCTTGTATCTGTCAGAGAACGTAAATTTTCAATTTCTTTTCGTAACTTAAACACAAAATATTCAGCTGACTGCCATTGTCAAAAAATCTATGGCTGTGTGCTTCAGGGGCTGCGAGGGTGTCAGCAATGTCATCTGTCACCAATGAAGTTATCTTTGTGGCAACTTATCTACTCGCACAGACATACACCGCCATCGCGACAGAAGTCAACGTCGTATGGCATGTGTTACAGTGTATCGCTGCGGGGGGTTAGAGAAGCAGAGAGATGAGGAGGGCCAAATGTCGCCCTCCCCGAAGGACGAGAAGGGCCCGCCCCGAAAATCTGGCATAGCTCGGGCTCGTCTGCCGCGGAACACCCGCATACTTCTCCGAGCACATAACCACCACGGCTTTGGATTACGAAAAGGACCCCGGCTGGCAGTACCTGCGCCAATCGAGGGAGCAGGCTCTTGAGGTGGGTCCTGCCTTGATTACTACTACTTTACTGTGCCTTCTACCTTTCTTGCATACTGTACCTTTGTACCCCCTTGACTGATTTTACAGTTTCCACCTTATGATTACTGTAGCTTAGCCCTGAACTTTTTATTATTCTTGTGACTACGGTAGAGCTTCTTTAGCCTCTCTCGAGCATCTTCTTTCTCTACCCCTCATGGCCCACTAATCAACACTTGCCACAAATTGCCATGTGATAAAGCTTTTGACGGGCTGAGGGGCTATAGGCCTACTGTAGGGATACTGTAGGTGGCAAGATCCTATTAAAAGAATTCTTCCGCAGAAAAAGAGCAAATATATGACGTAGACATGACCAAAAGTGAACTAGAGCTGATTTGGTTTTCCCGTGAAAACTCTAATATATCATGATCATTGATTAGCACTTGAAAGTTTCTGATGCTTTCCAAAGTCTGGAAATTCTGAGATTTCTTCTAGTCAACCTACCGCAAACGAATTCCGAAGGATTTGAGACTTGGCAGTAAAAGGGAACACCTGGAAAATTCTTATGTTGGGGTTTCTTGGGCTCTTCTATTCATCCTACCTATAGCAGTTGCGTAAAATCTTAGACTCTCAAGTAACTTGCTATCACAGCCAGTTTCAATTTTCTAATAGTCTCCACATCATTCAACCCAATTCTACTTCCCGAATGGGATTCCGAATTACCCAAAAGCTCTATACTATACCTATTCAGGATCAGTCCAAACCCTATGACTCGAAGAAGAACTGTTGGGTCCCCGATGCGGAGGAAGGGTATATCGCGGCTGAGATTACCGGTACAAAAGGAGACTCGGTTACCGTAGTCACTGCTCGTGGAAATGAGGTTCGCCTTTTTTTCATGGTCCCTTAGTTGAAGGATGAAGGAGGGGGGGGGCATATTCGGAGATCTTCGGTCTATGCTATATTGCCACAGCAGCGGATTTTTCCTCATCCACAACCGAATCGTGGGTGCGCCGGCTGCCGTAGGCTCACGTTCTAATACGGATGTGCAGGGTAAATCCTAGGAGGAAGATTTCGTTTGAAGAGGGGGCCAGCTATTGGAAAAATTCAGAATTTTGAAATTTTTCAAAATGTGTTTTTTTTTCAGGTGACACTCAAGAAAGAACTTGTGCAGGAAATGAATCCTCCAAAGTTCGAAAAAACCGAGGATATGTCAAATTTGACCTTCCTTAACGATGCATCTGTACTTCACAATCTCCGAGCTCGTTATGCGTCTATGCTTATCTACGTAAGTTCACAATCACCTAAAAAAATCCTAGAGATTTTTACCTTTCCAGCATCAGCATCAGACATTTTCTCACACACAGAAGTGTAGGTGGAAGAATGCATTGGAGCAAAAAACTGCAGTTGTGGAAGATAGATGAGCTTTTGGTAGAGCACCTCTCGGATGGCGCAAAAGTCACTCACTTCCTCACTGCTGAGATTACACCGTCCTGCTCGGAACTGATGATTCAGCTCATCTATCTTACTAACTAGATGTGCAGCATTTATTAGCTGGTAGTAGAGTCAAGCAGACTGATCTAGGAGCTAGAGCTTACAGGCAAAGCCCATCCTAACTGAGGATGGTGCGATTATCAAGTTGTGTGATAGTGGAGCCCCTAACTGAGCAATCGCCCAAGTCTCGTTGCAAAACATGAAATCCTAAAAGGTAAAGGAGTCCCAGGAAGCGCCAATCAACTTAGGTGGGGTAATAAGTCTAAAAATGCGCTCTAATCTGCCTAGAAATTGCATGAATCCTCCCTTCATTATGAAATACCAATTTTCAACGGTTCTATCTACATTGAAGACCACTTTCGCACTCACTAACTTTAGACCACCCACGTTGACGGGCGGAAGTTACTGGGCCGCTTGTGCAGTCGAGTAAATTTTCCGCTTAAAGGCAGTGTCTCACCAAAATTTAGTTGCCAAGATTTTTGCATTTTTCATGCCTGTCGGACCCTGTCAGCACTGTATGGGCTCGTAATCGCACGAAGTTTCCTGAAAACCCCGTTTTCTGGGAGCCCCGTGAAGCAACGTGTACAAGTTGTACCTTCCAGCTTTAGCCTTAGCCACAGTAGCAGCAACAGAGGGGAGGTGGATGCCAAGTGGAGGGACATGTTCTAACGCGTAAGGGGGAGACCAAAGGAGTCGTCCGCTCGTATCAACTCGCTCTCCGCGTACCACTCTCGCGTGGAGGGGGTCAGATTGAGTGAGATCTGTTGCAATGGCCTATTTAGATCTCCCTATAATAGAATATCTGAAGATCCGCGCAACATCAACTTTGGTGAGACACTGCCTTTAATGCAGTGTGTTTGCACAGAAAGTGAAATGCGGTAAAATTTCCGACTGAAGGAGCAGCCACGCCCGTACTGCCGGTAATTTGCGCCCGCAATTGGCCAGTCGAAACCATTTGTTTACGCATTTTTTACCGCCTTTACCTTCTATGCAAGCACACTATATTAAGCGGAAAATCTACTCGACTGTACCTTCCAGGGCAGTTTTTTCGCTTCGGAAGATCTTTTGCAGCTGGACTTGGGCGATCGCTCAATTAAGGGCTTTGCTGTAACACAGTATCAAAATCTTATCATCCTCTACATGGGCGGAAGGTGCCTTTGATAGCTGGTACTAGACTTCAAACACCTAGGAAATAATAGAAGAAATATAGCAATTTTTCAGACCTACTCTGGTCTGTTCTGTGTGGTCATCAATCCATACAAACGTCTTCCAATCTATACCGAATCGGTGGCGTCGATGTTCATGGGCAAAAGGCGAACAGAAATGCCTCCGCATCTGTTCGCCGTATCCGATTTGGCCTACAGAAACATGCTTCAAGATCACGAGAATCAGTCTATGCTGATCACAGGAGAATCTGGAGCCGGAAAGACTGAAAACACCAAGAAAGTAGGTTTTAGGACTACGTATTAGTACGGCAAAGCTATATTCAACTTCTCCAGGTAATTGCCTACTTCGCCAACGTTGGTGCTACCCAGCAAGGTGGCGCTGCTGCCGAACCTGGAAAGAAGAAGGTCACACTAGAGGATCAAATTGTCCAGACTAACCCCGTATTGGAGGCATTCGGTAACGCCAAGACCGTCCGTAACAACAACTCGTCCCGATTCGGAAAATTCATTCGAATCCATTTCAACAAGACTGGACGTTTGGCCTCTTGCGATATCGAGCACTACTTGCTTGAGAAATCTCGTGTGATTCGTCAAGCTCCGGGAGAACGTTGCTACCACATTTTCTACCAGATTTTCTCTGATTTCAAGCCTGAGCTGAAGAAAACGCTTCAACTTGACAAACCTCTGAAAGAGTACTGGTTTGTGGCCCAAGCTGAACTGACCATCGATGGTGTCAACGACAAGGAAGAGTTCCAAATGACCGACGAGGCTTTCGATATTCTGAACTTCTCCCCCGAAGAAAAGATGAATTGCTATCGTCTTATGGCTGCTCTCATGCATATGGGTAACATGAAATTCAAACAGCGCCCACGTGAAGAGCAAGCCGAACCAGATGGCACTGATGAGGCCGAGAAAGCGTCCGCCATGTACGGTGTAAACGCCGAGGACTTCATTAAAGCGCTCACAAAACCGCGTGTAAGAGTCGGAACCGAATGGGTGAATAAGGGACAGAACATGGAACAGGTCAATTGGGCTACCGGTGCCATGGCCAAGGGAGTTTATGCTCGTATCTTCAACTGGTTGGTCAAGAAATGTAACCTTACCCTTGATCAACATGGCGTCAGCCGTGACTACTTCATCGGTGTGTTGGACATCGCCGGTTTTGAGATCTTCGACGTAAGCCTACAAATGTTTTCTCCAAATTTCATTGAACCAAATTCTCTAACTTACAGTTCAACTCCTTCGAACAGTTGTGGATTAATTTCGTAAACGAAAAACTACAACAATTCTTCAACCATCACATGTTCGTCCTGGAGCAGGAAGAATACGCTCGAGAGGGTATCCAGTGGACTTTCATCGACTTCGGTCTCGACTTGCAAGCTTGTATCGAACTAATTGAAAAGGTGTGTCTAACTCTTGGATTTTGACTGTTTCTGATGGAAAAACTCTTTGGGGGTCTCAAATACTCATTCATAATTACGAAATTCAAGTTTGAACTCTTGCACAGGCACATTTATCGGATAGGGTAGGCCCGTGAAAATACGATATGGGCAAGTGTTTGGATTCGACTTTCTCTGTTATGAATGAAGCATACGAATTGCCGCTAGGGTTATGACTTGACTAGGTCCTCCCAACCAGTTTCCCCATAAGGAATAAGGTATCTAAACGCTTCTAATTTTCTTATATTTCAGCCTCTTGGTATCATCTCCATGCTTGATGAAGAGTGTATCGTCCCCAAGGCTACTGACATGACGCTGGCGCAGAAGCTGAACGATCAGCATCTTGGCAAACACCCGAACTTCGAGAAACCCAAACCACCAAAGGGAAAACAGTCCGAGGCTCACTTTGCTATGCGTCACTACGCCGGAACTGTACGATACAACGTAACGAACTGGCTCGAGAAGAACAAGGACCCCTTGAACGACACCGTTGTCTCCGTCATGAAACAATCCAAGGGTAACGATTTGCTTGTGGAAATCTGGCAAGACTACACCACCCAGGAAGAAGCTGCCCAGAAAGCCAAAGAAGGTGGTGGTGGCGGTAAGAAGAAGGGAAAGTCTGGATCGTTTATGACTGTCTCTATGCTTTATCGTGAGTCATTAAACAACTTGATGGGTATGTTGAACAGGACACATCCCCACTTCATCCGTTGCATCATCCCTAATGAGAAGAAGACGTCTGGATTGATTGACGCGGCTTTGGTGCTTAACCAGCTGACATGTAACGGTGTACTGGAAGGTATCCGTATTTGTCGTAAAGGTTTCCCGAACAGATCTCTTCACCCGGATTTCGTACAACGTTATGCCATCCTGGCCGCTAAAGAATCAAAGTCGGAAGAGGACAAGAAGAAGTGTGCAGAGGCCATGCTTTCGAAGCTGGTGAATGAAGGCTCGCTAACGGATGAGATGTTCCGTATCGGTATCACCAAGGTGTTCTTCAAAGCCGGAGTATTGGCTCATCTTGAGGATCTGCGTGACGAGAAGCTGGCCATCATTATGACTGGATTCCAAGGACAAATCCGTTGGTACTTGGGACTTATAGACCGTAAGCGACGTATGGAACAGAAAGCTGGACTGCTCATTGTCCAACGCAACGTCCGTTCATGGTGCACCCTCCGAACTTGGGAATGGTTCAAGGTGTACGGTAGAGTCAAGCCGTTGCTTAAAGCAGGCAAGGAAGCCGAGGAAATGGAGAAGATGAACAAGAAAATCGAGGAACTCGAGGAGAACTTGTCTAAGGAAGAGAAGCTGAGAAAGGAGCTCGAGGACAACTCTACCAAGCTGCTGGAGGAGAAAAATAATCTGTTCACACAACTTGAGGCCACCAAGGGACAATTGTCTGAGGCTGAGGAACGACTGAACAAGGTGAACTCTCTGAAAGGAGATGCCGATAAACAACTTGCGGTAGGTCCTACGTAGAATTTATTCATTAGCAAATTCCAAAAATGTTTGTTTTTTGTTCAGGAGTTGAACGAACGCCTTGCAGAACAAGAAGATCGAAACGCCGATGTCCAGCGAGCCAAGAAGAAGGTCGAAGCGGAACTCGACTCGCACAAAAAACAGATCCAAGAACTCGAGATGAGCTTACGCAAGGCCGAATCTGAAAAACAGTCCAAGGATCACCAAATCCACTCGCTTCAAGATGAAATGCAGCAGCAAGACGAAGCCATCGCTAACCTGAACAAGGAAAAGAAGCACCAAGAGGAAATTAACCGCAAGCTGATGGAGGACCTCCAATCGGAAGAGGACAAGTCGAACCACACAAACAAAGTGAAAGCCAAATTGGAACAGACCCTCGATGATCTCGAAGACAATCTCGAGCGTGAGAAGAGGTCTCGGGCCGATCTTGACAAGCAGAAGAGAAAGGTCGAGGGTGAGCTGAAGATTGCTCAAGAGAACATCGACGAAGCTGCTCGACAACGTCACGATCTCGAGAACAACCTGAAAAAGAAGGAAGGTGAACTACATTCCGTTAGCAGCCGACTGGAGGATGAACAAGCTCTCGTGAGCAAGCTCCAGCGACAAATCAAGGAAGGACAGAGCCGTATTTCTGAATTGGAAGAGGAACTCGAAAGCGAGCGCCAGTCTCGTGCCAAGGCCGACCGTGCTAAATCTGATCTCCAGAGGGAATTGGAAGAGCTAGGAGATCGTCTTGATGAGCAAGGTGGAGCCACCGCTGCTCAGGTTGAGCTGAACAAGAAGCGCGAAGCCGAGCTCGCTAAGCTACGCCGTGATCTGGAAGAGGCCAACATGAACCATGAGAACCAGCTAGGTGGACTGAGAAAGAAGCACACCGATGCCGTCGCTGAACTGACTGACCAACTTGACCAACTGCAGAAGCAGAAGGCCAAGATTGAGAAGGAGAAGATGCAAGCCCATAAAGAAGCCGAAGACCTTGCTGCACAACTCGACGCTGAGACTTCTGCGAAGCTGAACAACGAAAAACTTGCCAAGCAATTCGAACTGCAGCTCACTGAGCTTCAGGCCAAATGTGACGAGCAGTCACGACAACTACAGGACTTCACTTCACTTAAAGGACGTTTGCACACTGAAAACGCCGACATTGCTCGCCAACTCGAAGATGCCGAATCGCAGCTGAACCAGTTTTCGCGTCTGAAGAGCCAGTTGACCAGTCAGCTCGAAGAAGCTCGCCGAACTGCAGATGAAGAAGCCCGTGAACGTCAAACCCTCGCTGCTCAGGCTAAGAACTACCAGCACGAGGCTGAACAACTGCAGCAGAGCTTGGAAGAGGAGATCGAGTCGAAGAACGAGACCATGCGCCAGCTCAGCAAGGCCAATGCCGAAATCCAGCAATGGAAAGCACGTTTCGAAGGCGAAGGCCTCATCAAGGCTGACGAGCTCGAAGATGCCAAGAGACGTCAAGCTCAGAAGATCAACGAGCTTCAAGAGGCTCTCGACGCCGCCAACTCCAAGATCGCTTCGCTTGAAAAGACCCGAAGTCGCTTGGTTGGAGATTTGGACGATGCTCAGGTTGATGTGGAACGCGCCAATGCCTTCGCCAACTCTCTCGAGAAGAAACAGAAAGGCTTCGACAAGATCGTTGACGAATGGAAAAAGAAGACTGATGACCTCTCGGCCGAACTCGACGCAGCTCAACGAGAAGCTCGCAACACCTCCACCGAACTCTTCAAGGCCAAAAATGTCCAAGAGGAGCTGCACGAGGTTGTCGAAGGACTGCGCCGTGAGAACAAGAGTCTCAGCCAGGAAATTAAGGACCTGACAGATCAACTTGGTGAAGGCGGGCGATCCGTGCATGAAATGCAGAAGATCATTCGCCGTTTGGAAATCGAGAAAGAGGAACTGCAACATGCGCTAGATGAGGCTGAAGCTGCCCTGGAAGCTGAGGAAAGCAAGGTGCTCCGAGCGCAGGTTGAGGTGTCACAGATCCGCTCGGAAATTGAGAAGCGCATCCAGGAGAAGGAAGAGGAGTTTGAAAACACCCGTAAGAATCATCAACGTGCCATGGAATCGATGCAGGCTTCATTGGAGACCGAAGCCAAAGGAAAAGCTGAACTTTTGAAGGTGAAAAAGAAGCTGGAGGCTGACATCAACGAGCTTGAGATTGCTCTCGACCACGCCAACAAAGCTAACGCTGATGCACAGAAGAACTTGAAGAAGTACCAGGAACAGATTCGCGAGTTGCAGCTCCAGGTTGAGGAGGAACAGAGAAACCGTGACGATATTAGAGAGCAGTTCTTCAACGCCGAAAAACGCGCCACTCTGCTTCAGTCGGAGAAGGAGGAACTTCTTGTTGCTAATGAGGCAGCCGAACGAGTCCGGAAGCAAGCCGAAAATGAAGTTGCTGAGAGTCGCGACCAGGTTAACGACCTTACCGGACAAGTCGCTTCACTAGGTGCCGCTAAGAGAAAACTCGAGGGAGAAATACAGGCTATCCATGTAAGTGAAGAGTTAGTTATAGTCGGGTAGATTGAAGGTTTGATATGATGCATTTACGGTGAAGACAACACTTGCGCGTAAAAAGGGAAATAGTCCACAAAATTGGAGGTGGGCCTTGTGGATATATTCTACACCCAGTGATAGCACCGAGAAAAAAGTGGGTTATCAGCCACTAGATTATCAACAACCTGGTAAATGAGGTTATTCGTGCATTTGCTGCGCTGACAACACAAGTCCGAGTGAGAAAAGAATTGACGCGTGAAATCAGAAATACGCTAAGGCCATTTACTTTGAGCTGACGTAAGCACTTCTAAGAATCTAGTATCAACCGTCAAATCTACACAACTATTGAAAATCGACTTTTTTTCACAAATCATGTGTTCCTCTCCAGGCTGACCTTGACGAAACCCTTAATGAGTACAAGGATGCTGAAGAACGTAGCAAGAAAGCCATGGCTGATGCTGCCCGACTTGCCGATGAACTTCGTCAAGAACAAGAGCATTCAATGCACAATGAGCGTTTGCGCAAAGGACTTGAGCAACAGCTCAAGGAAATGCAAGCGCGTCTTGACGAAGCCGAGGCCGCTGCACTCAAGGGAGGAAAGAACGTAAGATTCTCACTCATATATTCGCACTTCTAAAATATGTGTTCAGGTGATCGCCAAACTGGAACAGCGCGTGCGTGAGGTAGAATCAGAGCTGGACGGAGAACAACGCCGATACCAAGAAGCTAACAAGAATCTTGGCAAAGCAGACCGCCGAGTCCGAGAACTTCAATTCCAGGTGAGGAGAGGCACAATACCTTATGTAGATCCTAATTTGGGAGATACTGAATCAGTGCCCAAACGAAGCCTTCCTAATAAATTTCTCAGTTTCGCCCAGTACCGTACTCGTGGACGCCGAATGACAAACGTACGGTAACGGGCAAAAGCTTGAAATTGATTTTTTGAGGAGTGGACTATATGAATTCCCGCTTGTGCAATGGCT